CCCCCCCCCCCCACCCCCAGACCATCGTGCCGCCTTCCTTCCCTTGCCCACCTCGGCTGTTGCGGACGAAAAATTCGCGAGCTGCCCGATGATCTCGGTGAGCAGTCACCTGCCGCCTGTCTCTGTTTCTTTCTTAAATCGGTCCAGCAGCGTCGCCTTCACTGCAACACAACGAAAATTATCAGGTTGCTGCTTCGGCGACACGGGGGTGCCTTGCCAGGGTGCTACGGGGTAGCGGCATGCCTACACGTACATGCTGCACAAACGAGGTTATACCAACAACCTTATGGTTCCTTGCCTCGCGTGAATCCCAAGAAAGACGTCCAACAACGAAAAATGTGTAAGCCGTGTTCAGAATCTACTGCACGATAGCTGTGTCAGGGAGGGATACACTCCGAGCTTGAGTTATCTATGCAGTAAACGTCAGTGTTTCCACCGGCAGTGGACTGTTTGGAAGAACGAGCAGTCAGGGCGAGGCCAGAAGAGGTGCTCGATCTGCCAGTTGAGTTCGAGAACAGCCCATTGGCGTCACCCTGGCCGGTTGCGGACGAATGTGATCTCATGGTTCTCATCCGGCAACGCCAGCACGGACGCGTTCCTTCGCTGCGGTGGAGAGTTGTCCGTCGACGGCGACATCTGCAACCGTTGCCATGCGGAAGGTATCAACAACCATAGCCTACCATCGCTGACTTGGTGTCGTTTTTTAGACGCGCCAAAGGACGCATCGACGAAACAGCATACCGCGTGTGGTCATCACCGCCACGACAAGATTGTGCTGTCTGTACTCGGCATGTTGAGGCATGGAAAGGAGGTGTTCGTCGAAAGCGAATTGGTGCTACAGTATATACTGTCAAGCGATCAACGTCGGTGTTTCATCGACGTTACAGCCAGCCTGCCGCCTAGAGTAGCACCTCACAAGTCATTTCACAACGGAATAGAGGCAGGCTTGTCCATACCAGCGGATATGCTTGTTGGTATGTCCGTAATTGGGAGGAGAAGACACGCTTTAACTCTCTCTGATTAGGCACCAGCGGGAGAGAGGAAAGGAAGGGAAGAAGTGGCCCTCCCGAATTCGGGGAAGGGGGCCCACATATAGTAGCCTTTTTCAGGCATACGCATGCTCCTGTCTACGTACCCCCCCCGTGCTGCTAGCAGATCTACCATGCTCGTATCCAGACACACGAACACCCTCCCCGGTTCGTCAAGCTATTGACAAACCATCAGTGGGGCATGGATACTCCAGATCTACTTAAGTTACTCATACAACAAAGGGAAAAAACTCGGCCATCCGGATCAAAAACCCTCGCCTACAAACTCAAAACATAAAAGAAATCGTCGCTATCACGAAGGATTTCAACGGTCGCACTATCAGGGCAGGACCAAGGCAGGACAGTTTGGACAGACCACGCTGATTACACACCCGAAGCAATTGGTCAAAAACCCTAAGCTCCCGCCGCGGGTGACGCCCCTGCCCAGCGCTTCCTGCGTGACATACCATGGTCCGAGACGCGCCCAGTGCTAGAACAAAACAAAACAAACGCCACGAAAACGAGACCAGAACCCTACATCGGCAGGTTCATCAGAGCCTTCCGGTGGTACTCCAACTTGCCCCTTCCAAGGACCTTGGTCAGCATATCGGCGTGCTGCTCTTCTGTCGAGGCATAATCTGCGGTGATCTTGCCCGCCTAAGAGCTCGCGGATGAAGTGGAACCGCACGTCGATATGCTTACTCCATCGTTGTCCTCACGGACCCTGATCGTGGCACCGCTCGTCTCGGGCGCAATGAACGACAGAACACCACGCACGAACAACGCTTCCTTCACGCCCTCCCCGGCTGCAATATACTCTGC